CTTTTTTCTTTTCTTATGTTGTATTTTACTTATTATCTGCCTCTCTGCACTAGAATGGAGGTTCCACGAGGGCAGAAATGTTTCCGTTTTTATATTGCTCCATCCCCACAAGGGATATGCCCATAAGGCATCCCATAAATTGTTCCATAAATGTCACATCCTTAGAAGAAACCAGCTGTAACCCGCAGTTACATCTAAACACCCATCTTGTTGGACTGTTAATGTTTTATTAACTTTGGGGAGGGCATCTCTATTCAGTTAAATGTTTTCCATGGTCTATATTCAATTTTGGTATTTGATTCTGCTAGTTCCAAATTAAGGTGAGGAGGTTTTTCTAATTTTCTTTCTTTCTGTTCTCTAAAATAAGTGGGGCCTATTTTCATTTGTTGTTTTGTGGGGTTTATTTTAAATTGATAAGGCAATTTCTTTCAAGATTAGAGATCTACTCAGATTTTCTCATCACCCATTTTGTGACTATTTTCAAATTTTTTGGCTTCAAGCTTTCATTTCAATCTCTTTATCTGAAGTTGTGCCCCGTTTTCATGACCTCTAATGTTTATTTTTTGCCTTTTTCTACTTCTGCTTTTTTCTCGATCAAACTTACCAGAGATTTACATACTAATTTTTCCAAAGCATCAGCTTTGGGTTGTGTTGAGTGTATGATTTCTATTTCATTACTTTCTATTGACTAAAATATTTTATTTTCATCTTGTACTACTTATCACTGAGGAAAGTATGTTAAAACTATTCCACTAAAACTGCCTATTTGAAATTCTCCTTACACTGTATCTTTCCTTTAAATATTTTGAAGTAAGATCAGATGCACATAGGTTCCTAATTTATCATCCCGGCAAATTAGTCATTCTATCTTTATGATGATCTTCTCTGTTTCTACTTAGGTTTTCTTTGTCTTACAGCCTATTTTGTGTGACATTAAATATAGCTTCTCCAGTTTTAACTAGTTTCCTGCGACATCATTTTCTATATGCCTTTACTTTAAAATTTTCTCTGTCCTTAAAATGTAAGGATGTCTTTTAGAAATAGTATAGAGCTGGACAATATGAGAACCTTTATTAATAGTTGGATTTAGGGGCTCTTGGGTGGCTCAGTTGGTTAAGCCTCTGCCTTCGGCTCAGGTCATGATCCCAGGGTCCTGGGACCAAGTCCCTTATCAGGCTCCCTGCTCAGCGGGGAGCCTACTTCTCCCTCTCTCTCTGCTCCACTCATGGTCCATGCACACTCTTTCCCTCTCTCTCAAATAAAACGTTAAAAAAAAAAAAACTTGGATTTACTTTTATTTGCTATGATGCCTAATATTCAGAAGTCTTTCTCTTATTTGTACATTCTATGCACCATACGTCTTCTGGCTTTGTTTCCACAATCCCCCCTGCTCAACTCCTATTGTATACGTCACATTGTTTTAATATCCTCTCCACAAATTCTCCCCAGCACCGGTTTGGAAGTTACACGATCTATTTCTATTTTTTTAAGGTGCCAATCCTTCCCCCATATTTGACAATGAAAAATCTCAAACACACAAAAGGCTGAAAGAATTCTACAGTGAACACTTTATACCCATTGCCTGAAGCGGACTTCAGTTTTATCGTGTACACGTGATTTAAGGTCTAAAGTTGATCAGTGCATCTAATCTTCTTTGATAACGATAAGATCCATAGAAGACTCTGATCACTTTTTTAAGTTTCCCACCATGTTTTTTTTTTTTTTTAAAGATTTTATTTATTTATTTGACAGAGAGAGAGATCACAAGTAGATGGAGAGGCAGGCAGAGAGAGAGAGAGAGAGAGAGAGGGAAGCAGGCTCCCTGCTGAGCAGAGAGCCCGATGCGGGACTCGATCCCAGGACCCTGAGATCATGACCTGAGCCGAAGGCAGCGGCTTAACCCACTGAGCCACCCAGGCGCCCCTCCCACCATGTTTTTAAGGGACCTGCAGTTAGTCCTTATTATAAGCATTTCATTGTTGCTGCTGTTTTGAGGTAATCGTTCTTCACATGTACCTTCTATTTTGCTGAATTCTTTGATCAATGTTGCTTCTTGCAGCAAACCTTTGCCACCTTCCTTAAAATAATTCAGAGCAGTCTCCGGAGCCTGCACTGCAACTTGGGGAACCCTAATTAGACTACACTGCATTCAAACCATAGTTAAAGGTTAGACCTTATTAAAATCAGAGTCAAGTTTCACCTCTGCCTAATAACAATTTCATGTGGATTTGCCAAATAGACTATAGTCTCAAAACCAGCAAGGAATCAGTGTATACTCTTGTATCTTCCCTGTACCTGGCACAATAGAACATACATAGGACATCTCCACGGAGTTTAAGAACACCAGGTGGCATTCTTTCTGCAAGCATTTTCTCAACATAGAAGAGCATCAAGTATATCTTTGATTACTGGACTATGCTGTGTGTTTTTCGTGCTCCGATGAAATATCTCCTTTCTGGGACTCTCTTGCAGAGGACCTGAAGGAAAGCACCATGTAGATAAAGCACATCGGACTAGATTTGGGAGAACTGGCTATTATCTGGCTTCCAACTCTCCCTGGTTCTGTGCTCTATTTCTGTCTCTCTCACACCTGTTTTCTCCATACACAGAGCTGACAGTGGAGAGTTAAGAATCCTCAAATCTCTGAAAACTCTGAAAATCTTCCCTGGTCTCTAATTTTCACTGTTCGAGATAAATCCTTTCACCCAGGTGGCACTGAGTCCAGAAACCATTAAAGGGTCTGTAGAAGGGTGTGGAAGACCCCACAGAAATGTCCACAGTAGGCAGACTTACAGCACAAGGGCTGTACAAATTTTCAAAAAACATCAAAGAAAGTACTCGCATATGCACCTCCAGAAGCTACGTGTATGATGTTTTGGCCTGGTTCTGTGACGAGTCTAACCTCCCTACTTCTTTTTTTCTTTCAACTCTGAATTCGTTCCAGCGGAGAGTACATACGAAAGCAAGGTCGGGGTGGGGGGGGTACAACAAGGGCAGACAAACACAGCCCAGCCAGTCACCAGGGACAGCTCTGACATACTATCCCTGAACAGACTGAATTTCCAACATGCAGTCAGGGAAATGTGACCCCATCGTTTTGTTTTAATTAAGAGGATTTGAATATCCTCAAGAAGTTTTACCTATACAATAGACACAATAAGGTATACAATTAAACATCTACAGAAAATGAAAATGCCCCATTACCTAGACTAGATTTAGCCTAATTAAAAAGTAAATCAAGTTCATAAGGAAAAATAATTGCCACGAGGCATAATAAGCTTCTTTTAATTTGCAATCTGAGTAAGGATATATATACCACTAGAGCCATGAGCTTTCTACTATAATCTCAGAAAAAAGGAAACTGAGTACGATTGTGTAACCCTGGCTGGCTACCACGGATTAAGACAAGGGGCATCTGTAGTGCGGCGTAGGTATGTAGCATGACCTTAGGCCCCCAAACTACAGCAGATTCTGTAAGAGCAATACCAATGCTCTGATACCATCTGGAATCCTCACACAAGTCAACCATCAGGGATGTCACAGGACAGAGAAAGATAAAGTTCCCACAGTTCCTGCAGGAAGGAAGCCAGACTGATTGGGAAGAGATGGGCCCGAGGATATGACTTACGTGGAGAATGCAGAAGAAAGTCAGTGACAGAACATGTGTAGAGCTGTTCTCAGACACAAGGTCACTGCACAGTATCCTCAGGCCAAAGTATCAGTTTTGGAAGGCCTCCTTCGGATTCATTAAACCCAAGGCTAGAGGGTTTTTGGGTAACAACTCAGTTTAGAACCATCACCATGTTGGCCAAGTACCTCTGCTACCAGGAAAGAGGTCAGGTTTTTTTCTTACTCTAGGGCCTATGCTAGTCCTGATTACTTTCCACCAAAGCGAAAGTGGGGTCAAGGGCCCTGTAAAGTACTTATGATACCCTCTTCCCTCAATACACTTGGACACAAGGCAGTCAGTGCCCTACTCAACACATCTCATGTTGGCATATCCTAGAGAAAAGTGATGTCAGCTCCCAGCTGGCATTCAGCTCAGTCCCACTACCAAAGCTTCTTCTACAAGTTACACTCTAGGTCACAGCAGGATACCCATCATGGCAAGACACTGCATGTCTGCTGGGGGTCAGGTGGGGTGGGGTGGAGGGGGATCAGGCAAATGTTTCATCTGCCCTAAGAGGAAGCAGAAGAGAGAAAAGTTAGGGGAAACAGGTAAAGCAATGTTACCAGGGGAAGAAAGACACAAAACTCTTGGAAGAGCTGATCAAAACAGGGGACAAGATCACCCCAAACAAAAGCGGCCTGTGTGTGGCTGGGCCTGTCCTGGTGCATATTTCTAGAAAATCCAGCCCTAACGCCCATATTCTGTGAGGCCATGATGTATCTGTAGGGTTGCTTTCCCTTAAATCTCCAAGAACTGAGCCCTCCCCCAAAACACCCCATCATTTTCTGCAAGAGAACCAGAGACCAGATGTAGGCAAGAGCGAAGGACTTAATGCGTACCCCACCCTTTCAGAGCAATGAAGAATTCCTAAGATTGTAATAAGGAACGTGAAGCTCTTTTATGCTCTGTTGTTCTAATATAGGAGAGTCTTGAAAAGAAATTAAAGATGATAAAATCTGGCCTAATATGAAGAAGGAACATTCTAATGGGAAGAGATTTCAGAAGATGGAGGTCCTGAGTTCTTCAACTCCAGAGATATCCCAAGATAGACCAGACAAGGTCTTAGCAGAGTGCTATAAATTCTGTGGTCTCCATGGAATCACCTTCTGTCAGAACTTGGAGCAGTAACTGTCGCAGCCATTCCAACATTGAATTTCCAGGCCCCTTTGCTTTCTTCAAGGTCCATAAATCTGATCATATACTCAACTGTGGCAAAGCTAACAACCTCACAAGTGATTGCAACTAGGATATGTATTTTATGTAGCTGGCTCAAAAATCACAAAAAGAACAGGAGAGTGGAAAAGAGGAAACAACCCAAAGGGTTACTTACTCTAAGAATCCAGGTTTGTGTTTATGTTCCACATGAGGTCCAAATTGTATCTGGGCTTGAAATCCTCCAAACTCACAAGCTTTCTCAAAGGAGACAGGGTGGGAGCCATTCAGGATATCATCCCGAGCCTGAAACACAACAGGAAGCAAAAAGCATCAGGAGCTTGGGGGAACCACGCAGGGATACATCCTGCGTCTGAGCACACACTCTCTCTGCGGGGCAAGGGGAGAGTGCCAGCCAAAGGGGACGCACTCAGGACACTGCAGGCAACTTGTTGCACAGTAGGATGAAGGCAGAAGGAAAACAAGTCCTTTCCCCAAACTGCCTATAGACAGAAAAAGTCAGCAGGACCCAGAGTATTAAAACTAAAGCTTCAACATCTAGGAAGGTAGAAGTGATCCTGAAAAAATAAGAGGCAAAGGGAAATCCTTAGGACTCCCCAAAACTTTTTATGTCCCTAAATCATTAAAGCTAACAGAAAAATTTCCTAGAGGTAAAATCAACCCAATCCCCATCCCAAGATAAAGGCCAATGCAATGTAAGGTGCTGGCAGGCGAAGAGAGACGAACAGACAGTAACTCAGTACTACAGCCATTTAAGGGAAATGGGCAAAATGTACAGTGTTAGAATCAGGAACTCATTGTGTCTGAAGTCCTTCTCTCAGTTCCCGATCTACCACTGCTGTTGCTATCTATCCTTCTTTTCTTTATCTAGTTCAATGACCCCCAGACTACTCTCCAGCAGATACTCTAAGCCTTGGCTCTAAGCCTTAACCCAACAAGCATTTTCTTAGTGCCTGGCTACCTCCCTTCCTTCCATGCCATTCTTATAACCACCAGCTCAGGGGTTAGCAAACTTTTACCATCAAAGGCCAGACAGTAAACATATTAGACTTTGTGGGTCATGTGGTCTCTGTCACAACTGAACTCTGCCACCAAAACATGAGAAAAGTCACAGACAATAAGTAAACAGTTACATGATATGGAAAGGGTTTACTCAATAAACCTTTTCATTCATGCATACGAATGAGCTGTGTTCCAATAAAACTTTATTTACAAACAAAGGCAATGTCGGGGCGGCATTTGGCTGATCCCTGCATTATTCTAAGAGCAGATACATAGGTAAATAGGAGAGGAAAGGAAGGGAGGGAAGGAAAGGATCAAAGATGATAGATCAGGATTTTCTTGAGCTGAAAAAAGAAAAAGACTGGGGCCCATCAGGTATGATGCCTACTTCTTACATATTGGGAAACTATAAACTCTGGAAAGTTAAATGACTTGTCTGAGTTTCAACAGGTTAATGGTGAAGACATAAAGGGTTATGAAGAGACTCTTTCAGGAAATGAGAAATATGGATTTTCTGACCAATATTCACTTGCATCCTAGGACATCAGCTAAGAGAGGTTTAGTGTAGCGGTGAGCCCATTAATTGCCTCTGTGTCAGGCAAAGAGATAGTACCGGCCACCAGGTCCCAATCTGGGAAGCCAAAGAAAGGCCCTCCTTTCTTTGCCGATTGTCTATCTGCACCACAACCAAACACGTGAGGAGCCCCTCAACAGTGCCCCCTGGAAATTGTGCATCGAAAACACCATGCAAGCCTGAGCTGAGCTCCAGCTCACGGCAAGCCACTGCCCAGAGCTTCCTGACTTCTCACCACCCTCCGTGAGCATTAAATGCTGTACCTGAACATAAAGCAAGTTCAGCTGCACGGGGTCTCTCGAGTCCACATTCTGATCGGAGTAGAAGAACTTCCGTCTAAGTAGCAATGTTTCGTGTTCATCTACTCCTTGTTCTCTGAATGTTCGGCTGTGATCCAGCCAATTTACTGCAACACAACAAGACAGATGAAAGAACTGTATTCATTCTTCCTCTTGTTTGAAGGGATTTATCAAAAGAGAAATGGATTTCTGGAACGCTGATATTCAGTTAGTTACTTATATCAGAACTGTGCTTTTTGACTTTGCAAAATTATTTCATATATACCATCGTGTACCATGGGACCCACCAAAAAACAACTGAGAGAAAATTCCCAGCCATTCCTGAAGTTTGTTAGAGCCCCACAATCAATTTATAACATGGTGGGGGGAGTGATAAAAATCAATGCTTTATGTCAAGACAACCAAGTTAGCATTTTCCTTTAAGTTTCCTTTAAGTTCAGTTCCATTAAGTGAAATAATTTATAAGCTCAGCACAATGAGTTACCTTCACCTGTAAGCTGAAAAGAGAAGGAACATAAAAGTAATTGGTTGGGGGGAGCAGTGGGGGTGGGAGGGGGTAGGACAGGACACTAAGGGATCAGGGATGGTAGAGCCCTGCCTGTGGCCCAGCCTGGATCTCACTCAGAAAACGCTCACCTGTTACCTGGGAGCATGGGAATGCAGCGCCCCTCTACCCTTTCCATAGCTCTACGTTCCCACACTCCTCCCTGGGCTTAGCACACACATTGTGTGTAAGTATTACAAGCCTCACTGGGTTCTAAGCAACTTCAGCACAGAGAGTGTGTGGGGGTGATCTCATCTCTCATGGTACCTGGGAGAGTATCATGCACATTATAAAAATCCTTGAGATTTGTCTACCATTGTCTCACTTGGAAAGAAGTATGTAACTGGAAATCAAATGAGGCAGAGAGGAAAAAAAAATGAAGAACGGGTCAGAGGAAATGAAAGCCTCACCGAAGATCAATAAATCTAATGGCAGTGATGACATCTTTCCAATGCAGCAGCAAGAACAATGAAAGAAAGAGTCTGGGAAGGTCTTTATAACCAGGGATGAAGTAAGATCCTTGAAGGGGTGGGGGACGTTGGGCAACTGAATGCACGTGGCGTACTTTGGGGACACATGGGGTGTGGATAAGGGCTCTTCCGAATATTAATTGTGTGGTCACAGAAGGGGACTTTCCTATAATTGGCATTTTATAACCTCTAGGGAAACAATGGATCGAGGCAATGATCATCGATGGCTGTTAACATCACAAAAAAAAGAGACAACCAAACACAACTTTCTGACAGAAGTACACAAGACCTCATAAGGAGGAGTCTTTACTTAAAGAATAGACACATACACATGAATCTGAGCAAGTTTCCAGATCTCAGGAATTAAAAGAGACAGTGCTAGAGGACACCACAATCAACAAAATCCAGACTATAGAAAACTCCATAAAATAACAATCTGTTTCTTCTTCCCAGAAATTCCGAGGGGGGCGGCGGGGGGAGAGATGGAGGGGAAGTTTGAGACAAAAACAGTTAAGCGTCATATTGTCCAACCTTATTTGGACCCTAGTTTAAATGATTATTAGCTTTTTAGAAGAAATGCGAACATTATTTGTCTATTGACATTAAGAGATTACTTTTTTTCAGTATGAAATAGGACTATGGTTTGTTTTTTTGTCTTAAAGTCTTTTAGTGCCATAGACCAACAGCCAACTGAAAACTCCTGCCCGGGGTTCATGTAGGTGAAGGGAGGGGAGTGAGGTCCGGCCACACCGGCACCCCGCCCACGCTCCCTTCTGACACTCACGGTCATCATCCGTATGGAGCTTGGCCTTCAGCTTCTCCATCTTCCTCTCGTCTCGCAATAGCGTCCTGTCCTTTTTTAGCGTCCCTGTCCCTTCCTCTTTCTTTTCTTCAATCGTTTCTTGGATTAAAGAATACTCTTCATAATTCGTTATTCCTAAAAATATAAATTACGTAATGATGACCAGTGATGACGCTGCTGTCACTCCTTCCAGCGGGGGGGGGGGGGGGGGGGGGCAGTGATACTCCACGGGTCCCTGGTAGCACAGGACGGAAAGAGGCTTTACAAAGGTGAGGGTCAGAGGGCCACGCAGGGAGCACACATCCAGTAACTCTGGCCAAAAACAAGGTTTCTCAGCTAAACTAAGCCATGTTTAAAATGTCACATTCAATTCTCCTAATTTTCGAGAAACAAGCACAGAGTAGAGATCATGCAGAACAAGGCAAGACCGGGTCAAACAAGAAGTGGTTGAAGCAACTGGTCTTCCCTCGCATGGGCAGAAGACTAAATATTTGAAGGGCTTCATGCAGAAAGGAGACAGACTTGTTCTCAGAGGATATGAATAGAAGATACAAGAAGAAAAGCTGTGTAGTAATCTATTACACAGCCTGTCCCTATCAGTCTTCAAGGAAATAGTGGATGTCACTGGTACTTAGCCACACACAGGAAACTGAATTATAGGATTCCAAACATATTTTCAAATAAAAAATTCCTTTGGGGGGGCGCCTGGGTGGTGACTCTTCATTTTGGCTCAGGTCATGATCTCAGGGTCCTGAGCTCCAGCCCTGCCTCTGGCTCCACACTCAGTGGGGGGTCTGCTTGAGCCGTACTCTGTCCCTCTGCTCCTCCCCTGCTCGTGCTTGCTCTCACGCACCTGTGCATGCGTGCTCTCTCTCTAAAGTAAATAAGTAAATAAAATCTTTAAGAAAAAAATTCCTTTGGCTTTTGAAAGGGAAATAAAATCTCTCAATTTCGACTCAGTGAGAGTTTCGTGTGTTTACAATGCCCGTTAGTGGGTTTGTACTATCCAGGGAATAGCAACCCTGTCTTAGGTTTGGACAGAAGTCAGTGGCTAGGACACATTCGGGATTGGCAGGTCACCAAATGGCGATGAAAAAAAGAACAGGTGCGTAATGAACAAAACGAAAACTGGAACCTCGGCACGGGAATGCTCACCTATCCTGCTGCAAATAGTAACCAGGAGTTCCCCAACGGTCTTGGAGTCATCCACCATGACGGTTTTCACGGATCCATCCAGCATCCGGATTTTCTGAGGTCTCTGTTTCTTTTTATATTCCAAAATATCCTAGAGCAAAAACCCCACAAACTTTTCACATGACTTGTTCATTCAGGTAACCAACCTGGACACTTTTCTTTAAAAAAATGCATTTGCCCCAGCACGTTGATTTCCCCCTTCAGTTTTCATGAGATTTTGGCTACTACAACAGAAACCCCAGTGCTAAATAATTGCTTCCAACAAGCTTTCTTAAAATCTGATGGTGAAACTGCCCCCCAGCAAGTACTGTTTATAGCTTACAATTCTTGAAAACTAACCTCTGTAAACTTAAAGTACCTTATGCCTTCCTGAAGGTCTGTGGATGATTTGTTTTGAGGAGAACTAGCGGAGGTAAAATCCTACTTACCTCTGAAAAAGACAGTAGTGTGCTTCTCCAATTATCTTATGGTTGCAAGCAATTTTTAATATAGATGTCACGAAGGAATAAATAATACCCCCCTTAATTCTTTAGAGTGGTGGGATGCCACAAAAGTGGTTTTTGCAGCAATGGCAAGATCAAACAGGGGTAGTAGGTTTGGAGGTTATTTGTAAATAGATTTTTTTTAACTACATTTAACAATAGAATTACAAATGGAAAATTAATTGGTACTGCATAATTCACTCTCTCCTGAAGGATTACTGATCAATCGGATATGTGCACTCCACACACTAAAGCCCAGTACCTTTGAAGTTCAGCTGAGCAGAATACACACTTTTTTACTCAACACCTCTAATTCCAAACAAAGCCATTTTTTTGTTGTCGCTGATTGTTATCATGCTTTGATCTCATATGGAATTTCTTCTACAAACACAAAACTGAATAATATTCAATCTCTGACTACCTCTAGGATCTTTTTGTTTTCCCTCCAATCTACCCTTACTTTTTATCATTAGTCACCAGGATACTTCCTATATCCTTACAGAAGGACGCTACGCCTTATTCCCTAGCTACCAAGCACAACCATGGTATGTGTAAAAAGCCGAGCATGCTAACCCCAAGCCCCTTTAATTACTCTATGGAGTTTCAAGAATTTGGAGCGCCAGTATTTCCTATTACTACCTGGGCAGCCCTTACAAAGTCAACTACAACAAAACTAGGAATAAGTTTCCCTTGGAGCAAAACAGTGAGTTGGAGCTCCCTTTTTCTGAGGGGAAAGAGTATGTTGGCTTCTAGAGAAGACCCACAGACAAAGCAACAAAACAAAAACAGGAACAAAACAACAAAACGACGTCTACAACATACCCCATTTCGCAACATGTAGTAATCCAGTGTTCGGCCTGCTTCCAGCCAAATTCCTTTCCTGGGGTCTTCATCAGAGAGAAACAGCCCATAATCAGAAGCTGGGAGATAAAGAGAAGAGAGGGTGAAAGACAGAGGGCCACTGAAGCCATCACTGACTTCTAATCCCTGAGTCTGCAGACTTGGCAGGATGGGAGCATTCGCCTGCACCAGACAGGTTTCGTTTTGACAACATGAACAAGCCAAGGGGCTAAAGCAGAAGAGGAGGAACGAGGCCAGAGCTGTAACATCAACACCCACAGGAAAGGTTCTCGATTTTTAAAACCAGTGGGCAGCAACTGTGTCTACACTTTGGAGAAACACTGAGAACAGAACAGTCCAAATTTCTAATTTCTGAAATGGGCTTTTTTCCCTATCACTTACTATATAAAAATCTGGCAGAGAAGCCATGAAGAAGGACAAGAGGGACCGTGAAGAAACTAAGGAAGTGACCGCTTAAGCACAAGGCCACTTAGGCCAAGAGGGGCCAATGGAGTCTTCACACTTAGAATAACCCCTCCATCATCCCAAAACAGCATTACAAAAGGTAAGCAGGGGGGCCCAGAGAGATGAAGCCTCTGTCCCCCACCCCATAAATTAAGAATATAGTTGGAAAATAAAACTCTGTGTTCTCCATAGAAATCCCTTAATCTGATTAGGAAGTACAAGGCATGGTGGCAGGAAGAAAGCAGTATCACTTCCTGTTCCTGTCTAAAGATTTCTATCTTGGGCGCCCAGCTGGTTCAGTCAGTTGAACATGCAACTCTTGATCTCAGGGTCATGAGTTCGAGCCCCATGCTGGATGCAGAGATTACTTAAATACATCTTTAAAGATTACAAATAGATAACTACAATAAAGACTTCTGTCTTGCTGAATGTGATCCAAGGTAACCCCAGAGACCCAGATGAAGGTCTGAGCTCCTATTGTTTTTTAGAAAAACAAGTTCAAAATCTAGAAAGGTTTTAATCTTCACCAGAGTTAAACAGCAGTCCAACCCAGAAAATTTTTTTTTTAAATCTGGGAGAAAAACAGTAGAAGAAAATGCCAGAAATGATTGGACAACCCGAATTTGGAGTAAGGTTGGGGATGTAGGATAACTTTACTTTTATTTTTGGGTAATGAAGAAATAACAGTGTTTTAAATAATATCAATAATACTTTTAGACCAAAAGCTTTGCAGTTTTGTGACATCTTTTTGAGAAGATCAATGTCTATCTCTAATTATCTTTGAATATTTGATCCTCACGCTTCCCATTTTTAAGTTAAGTTGCAGCCCATTTTCACAGCAAAGACTTCTTCATTTGGGAGAAATCCCAATTTCCCAAGTGCCGATCAAACACTAAATAAAGGAAGGAAATGTAGAGAGAAGAGAAAGGGCAATGGAAAATAAAAGTTCTATGAACAGGTAGATCAATAGTGGTCAATGGTTTAAACCAACAGGAAACACAACATAGATTCATGGATGCTCCCCACCCCCTTTAGGGCTCGAGACAAGTTTACGAAGCCCCTTCCAAGTAACTGAAATATAAGGCTTGCCCTGCATCCTGATGGCAGTTCCAGCCTTCTTTGGGCTGCGTATATGGAAAAGAGGGCTCAGGGTATTCAAATGCAGGAACTGTCAGAGTGGCTTCATTTGCATTTTATAGGGCAAATGAGATGACATATCAAAAAGTGACTTGTAAACTGTAGAGGGCAATTCTGATGTATGGAAAGGTCATGACGATGGGTATGACAATGATGACTCAGTGGCAGCCATGGCCACTGTCGGCACAAGGCTCACTTGGGACGTAAATACCTACATCCAGGCTAGGAAGACTTTTCATTTGAAACATACACACTAGTGGGCTTGGGTACCACTCAGAGCGTCTGTTTCTTTAGGGGCTAAGCAAAGAACATATAATCATATTTCAAGAAGCCAGTGACTGAGCAATGGCCTACCTTGCCCAGTTTGTGCCTCGGGTACCCGTTCCCGAATGACTCGACATGCATCGTACACAGCTGTAGACGGTTCAAACTGCATGGTCTTCACCACATTGCAGTGGCGGACACAAATCTTTAAGGACAGGGCCACCATTTTCCTAGATGACTTGTAGGTTCTCACTCAGAATGTCTGGAAAACACAAAGAGACAAACGGTGATATTCAAAACGGTCTAGCAGAAAAAACTGCTAGACTGTAAATCAGCTTTAAACAATCGAAACAATCAAATAGCAATTAAAGAGAATGCTTTGGATAAGAACACAAATTAAAAGATTTTGAAAAGTTTAAAATAAAACAAGAGCATCTAGTCTCCATATTACCACAGAGTGGTAAGTAGAACTTCTGAGGAGGAATGATTCCTGGAAGTTCACCAAGACTCCTTCTCAATGGTGCTCCCTATGTTGGGTTTCCAGCAGGGGATCGTCAGCGTGAGAGTTAGAGAGCCTTGGGCACCACAGCTACTTCCTGAAGATCCTTCTGTTGGCAGCCTCAGTGCCCCAGCTCTCTCCCCACAGCTTCTAGGGACAGTGAGAAGCATGAATGCCCTCCAAATGCTCCTCAGGGCAAGAATTCCTTGGGGAGAATTCCATCTCCCCACATACTAAAAGACTTGGCATCTGGGCCGAACTCCAACACCAGGATCCTATGTAAGTCCCTTTGGCCGCTCTACTTCAATTTCCCCATAAGTTAAGAAGCCACAGTGGTAACAGCCCTATATAACTTAAAAAAGAACCAACCTCCCCCCAAAATAAATTAAAAAAAAAAAAAAAAGACCGAAACCCCAAGGCGTTATCAGTGGGAACCCAATGCCCAGCTTTAGAAAGTATACAGATTTGGCTAGGTTTTATTTCATAAATGACTTCTTTTTAAAACCTAAATCCAAAAATTTGGTCCATTTCCTTTGAGTTGGCAGCTTAAGGCTTATTTTGATGACCTGCTCTCTTCCGTAGTCAGAACCTTAACCCTCAACCCCAAGCCAGCCTCCATCAAATGCCCCTTGCTCAGGCACAGGAGAGAGGATTCTTCTCTGCACCTGACACAGGCCCAGCTGGCTGTCATCCTGGCAAACACAACAACAGGTTTCAGAGTTAGGAGCCATTAGAATCCCAGCATTGCATCAATAACATCAATCCACAGGAATTTCAAGTTTTCATCCCTTGTTCTCTTAGAGAGCCTATAGGTAGTGAAGCTGAACCCCAGCTGCCTTGATGCCCCCTTCCCACTTAAGAATGCAAATGCTGGGGCACCTGGGTGGCTCAGTCGTTAAGCGTCTGCCTTCGGCTCAGGTCATGATCCCAGGATTCTGGAATCGAGCCCCGCATCAGGCTCCCGGCTTGGTGGGAAGCCTGCTTCTCCCTCTCTCTCTCCCCCTGCTTGTGTTCCCTCTCTCGCTGTGTCTCTCTGTCAAATAAATAAATACAATATTTAAAAAAAAAAAAAAAAGAATGCAAATGCTAAGAAGCAATGAGGCAGCCAAGAAGCAGAGAGGGCCACAGGCTGACCAGGCCCAGGCCGTGGGTGCCCCTGGGGCGTCACTTCTTCACATGCTTGATTGGTTGCCGGCTTCCTAACAACAGGTGACTGGGTCAACTGGAGACAGAGGATATTTTTAAACAGATGTTCTGGAATCTGTGGGCAGCGTTTACATATAGCCACGCCAAGCAACCACTATAAAGTCATTTCGACCTTTACTTACATTTTGAATGAACTGCCTGTGAAAATATTTCTTGAAAAACGTCAAGATACAGATACAGTTCTCAATAAACAGCAGCTGTGTTCGCTGGGATTCTTCTGCAAATTGAATCAATTACTACAGCCTGGGCAGTGGCCCCATTGCTGACAAGGCAGAAGGTTCAAAATATCCAGAGATTTTCCACCTTCAATATCAAGGACTTTTAAAGCCATAGATGAAGGGGTCTACCCAACTCCAGGGGAAAACTTAAACTCTAGACATCAATTGACAAATTTACTGTAATGTAGAGATCTCACTCAGATCTGGAATAGTCTATTGTGGAACAGTCTACCCCTCTGGGGCTGGTGAAAATTGTGAGGTTTCCCGAACCATGGAGATTCAGGAGCATGACTGATGGTCAGTGGTAAAGACCTTGGAACTCTATTGTGGGTGCCATTTATGGAAGGCACCAGAGAGGATGGGATGGTTAATCTCTTCCATTCCCTGAGAAAATGAAGTATTTTAAGTGTCCCTTCATGAAGGCTGCCCTTCCCAGGCTAATAATTGGGCCTTCTGCAGAGCAAATTCATGGTCCCTCTAGCCAAGCCAAGAGAGAGTCCATCAAAGGAAAATGCAGAGCCATCAATGGGGCTGAACGCAGAACATAACAGCAAGATCATAAACACTGGAGCTCAAAAGGGAACAGAAGACACATAGGGGAGGAGAAAGGGGCAGATGGAACAGTGGGGAGAAGAAAGAAAGACCAGATAGAACCTAGGCCTGTGGGTCAACAAGAAACACAGGAGAGAAGCCCAGAGATTTAGGAAGCAGAAGGAGAGAAGCAGAACATACAGAGCAGTGAAGGAAAATCTCTAACCAAAACAACTGGAAAAATGAAGAGGCCACTAGTTGATGTAGGGGAAGCTGCTAGAGGCACAGACAAAGAAACTCTCTAGTGAGTTTCTTTGGGGTATATTCAGCGGAGAAGTAGAACAGGGTCAAATACAAAACAGGATACATAATGGGCGGGGGAAAGCTCATATTTCAATCCTTAGGACTAGAAAGATCATCTAGGGAAGTGAGGAAGAGAGAGATGGGAGGATGGAGTCCTGGAACAGTGTTCTAAAATCAGGACAGGAAGGGACTGGCCAGGAGGCCTAGTGGTAGGTGAAGAAAGAGAACCAAGAGAGGGCGGGCCAGAAGAAGGTGCATCGCGCAGGAGGGAGAGAGAACCTGTGCTAAGTGCTGATCACAGACCAAAGAAGATGTGGATGGAGAAACCACCAAATCTGGCAGGGAGCTCTCTGGGAGCTGAAGTAAGAAGCAGCTGGCAGGGGGCCGGGGGAGGTGGTAGCCAGAGTAGCAGGTTCAGGAGAGAGAGGAGAGGAGGGGCTGGTAGACTCATCTCCCTGTCTCTTGAGGAGGCCTACTGGCAGGAGTGGAGCAACAGGCAATGACTCCCATTCATGCCCTTCAGGCTTTTTATCCAGAAGTATGTATCATGTAGTTCTATGAACTCCGTATCTGCACAGCATCTGTACAGACAAGGTGTCTACCTGACAATGGCCCAAGAGACAGTCCCAAGACAGCTAAGAGCCCTTCCGGGAGGCAGGCACCTCAGCGTGCATGATCTCCATTCTGGACCTGTGAGAGAAGAGGAGTAGGCAAGGCCATTCAAGGGAAGGGCGCTGGACTGGGAAGGAGCCTGGGGTCCAGGTTCATTCCCAGGCCTGCCATTTCTCCTCCTTCTGCTCTTCAGCGGTGTGACTGGCTCCCACGAAAGGAGTTGCCCAGCAGAAACTGGATGCTTGGCCAACTAGTCCCAAGGGATTCCCCTGTCCTCTCCTCGTAACATCTCACAGGACAAGCCACAGAACGGAGACAACTATTCTTAGCTCAAGGTAGACATTCAGCATAAGGAGGGACACTGGAGATTCACTTTGAGACTCATGTTCTCAACTCTTCTTCCACTTCAAATGTTATAATGTGGCTGAACACAGAAACACCAAACCACCAAAATCAGTCCCTCTCGTAGGATTGCTCAGTGGCCAAAAGACTAAAAGGCTCCAGTGTCACCATCTTACTCCAGGCTCTCAGTGTTCCCGACATGAAGCGTGGAACAAGACCGATGATTTCCTTTGCGGGAGTGTTTTAGACATGCATAATCAGGTATGTAACAATGCTTATCAAATACAAGGTTATACATTTGCATGTATATAAAAGACACAGTATTTTTATCACGCAAGAAGATGATCCACGCAGACAAACGTCAATGAGATCTGAAACCAAGGTACATGGTGACTTAACCGTAGTTACACAGGGAACACGGCAGTGAGCAGTTTCTAGCCCCACGCACAGCACAGTGAGCTACTTGTGAAGCAGACCCGTGCTGAAGTTAATAGTCCTGGCTTATGGCAAAAAGATCACAAGACCAAAGCATACGGGAACATATGTTAAATAAGAATGAGTATGTGTTTTCAGCTCTCATGAGAAGTCTCACTATACATCCACTAAAGCCCTGAGAAAATCACACCATGATCAAGACTAACGTTCTGTTCCCTCTCCAGGGAGACGTTCTCAGGGCACCGGTGCAGCGTACAAACGGAGCCTCACCTCCACTTCCCTGTACTCCAACCCTCTGGCTAATTCCTGCCTCTCTAGGCAGGGAGCCTAGAACAGAGGAGCAGGTTTCCTTCTTTTTTGGTGTGGCTACAACAAGACTCAAAGTCAAGTGCTTTGTAGTCTAACTCCTGTCTTTATTTTATGATCTTGTCCTTCGTTTCCTTTCACCCTAATCTGAATGTATGCTAGCTGGCTGGGTCTTAAGTCCTTTTATGTCGTGGTTTGGGTTTCTTGCTAAAAGGCAGGGTATAAAGTTCATAAAAGATACACTCTTTTCCTTTTCATAATTTCTTCTCACTCAGACCATTTCTGTCCTGATTTTATGTGTGTAGGTCACCTGGGGCCAACGTGGAACCTTTCTATGCCATCCATTGTGGTAGCTGAGCCAATGGAACCAGGGGTGAAACCCAGACATTTTCCTTTTAAAGTCAACACTTCTCGGTCCCAGGGAGCTGTAAACAGCTCAGGATGGTGGCAGCAGTGCAGGCTGCCCAGGCTCTGGCCAGTCCACCCTGGAACAAACAAGCCCAGCTCAGCCAAGGGCTCCTCCTTGCCGAAGAAATGCCTGCCATTGGCCAGGATAAGCAGCCACCCCTCGGATCTCTGCCCTTACCAGTGAGGGCTTTGAGGTGCTCCAACTCCATTCCTGCCTTACCAGTTCATGATTCTGAGCTGGTTGTTTAACTGCAGCCTGCCTCAGTTTCTTCCTCTTCCTAGTAACCTCCTAAGGTTGCTAAAGAAATCTATGAACACAAGTCAAAGGCACAAAGTACCAGGTAAGGGTTTGTTATTACTCTTCTTAGCT